ACATGCATTGACCTGGGAGAGGGCGATGAGAGTCATATGCCTCCCAGGATGGTTTTAATATTTGATAGGTGAGGTGATAGTGTGGTACCACCCATTGAGTGGTAGGGAAACTGGATCAAGTGGAGTCTGGCTATATTGATTTTGTGGTCTGTGGGTGGGGTGATCAGAGATGTTGGTAGACACCTGGATATCTGAATTCATTTGGAGAGGAAGAGATCAGGGCCAGAGGTTTACCTGTGAGTTGCTAGCATAGGGCAACAACACATGCAAGTCACAAGTAGGAAAACAACAAAAAATTATAGGATTGCCTGAGGGAGAGTGATGAGGGCCTGAGACAGTACCTTCAGGTGAAAGATCAACAGACAAGATATCAAGGAGGACAGGACCCTGTGAATGAAGGACAGTAATTTTAGGAGAGGGAAGTGGTCAGAAATGTTAAATACTGCTTGAGAACTCCATGAGAGATGACCTGAAAATTAAGGGCTTCTGCAGGATAAAAACATGGAGGCCATCCTAACAGAATCATTTGGTGGAGTAGGGTGTAGGATCTTATAATAATTAAAAAGGATTGAGTAGTATTTGAGAAAACAGCAAATGTAAACAAAAGTCTTTGAATTCAATCTCTTGTCAAAATAAGAAAATACTTTGGGTATGACATAGTGGTTGTAAAGGAGGCCTTTGTGTTGAGATCAGAGAAACTTAGGCTTGAAAATACAGGGCAGATTGTGTGGATAGGATCCCCAGGGTGGGGTGCAAAGGATTTGGAGCACAAGTTTGGGACAGAAAAACATACTGCTACCATTGCTGTGGGCTGGGGATGGGAGCTGCCCACAGGCAAGCAGTTGTAGATTTGAGGGTGTGCGTATCCCTAAGAGTATCCTGGATTGCAGCTTCTTAGGCAGCTCAGTCTGCTATTCACAAATGAACTGGGCTATAGATTCTATGGTTTATTCATTTCCCTCTCCTTAAAAAAAAAAAATTATTGAATCTTAGAGAAAAACATCAATATGTTCTGCTTATTTATGGATTCATTGATTTTTTTTATAATATATTTTATTGATTCTTTACAGAGAGGAAGGGAAAGAGATAGAGAGTATGTGCTCTGACGGGATGGAACCCTCAATCTTGGTGTATTGGGATAACATCACCTGAGCTACTGGTCAGGGCTATATTAATTTCTTTTATATATATTGATTTCAGGGAGAAAGGGGAGACAGACAGCGAAAATGAGAATCATAGATTGGCTGCCTCCTGCATGCCCCCTATTGGGGATAGAGCCTGCAACCTGGGCATGTGCCCTTGATTGAAATTGAACCTGGGACCCCTCAGTTTTTAGGCCAACACAATCCACTGAGCCAAACAGGCCAGGGCTTAATTTCTTTTTTCAGAAAGAAATATGTTCACTACTATTAGGAATATAAAGTTTGCGTTGGAAATACCGGCAGTGCAGTGTGGGGAAGGAAGTAGATTATGTTCAGGGTTATAGGACAAGTAATTGGGAAGGCTTAGGGTTGAGGGAGAAAGGGATAGAGAAGGGGGTGCTTGGGTTGAATCTAAAGGAATTCACTAGAAAGGTGACAAGAGAAAGGATGTTCCTGGCAAAATATGTAGCACTTATAAATATGTCAAGGCCAGAGAGGATGTGTTATGTTCAAGAGGTGGAAAGTAAGAGGAAATTGGAATCAAGTTTGTCAGGATCTGTAATAGGGGCCAGTAGATGCTTAGGTTATACCCCTTGAATTGTGAGTGATACATCTGGATTGTGATTACAAATTTCAGGAGTACTAATTTTACATAGTTTTCCCTGTTAATTATGAGTGAAGAAATTTGAAGCTGCTGAGGTGAGTGAAGCTAGGCCAGTTTTGTAGGTTTGGCTAAGTGACTGATTCCTGTGAACCAGTCTCTAGATCATGAAGTTAGTGTCCCGTCAAAGACCTAGTCACTCTGAGATGGTCAAAGATACAGATGTCTGGACAGTTGGTCAAGGGCCTGTTTTAACAGGAGCTTGGGAGGGATTCCTGTGGATGGGATGGGTGGCTGTGGGCAACACACCTCTTACATCTGTCCTACCTTGCAGACCTGCTTAGGATGTTCTTCGATGCGTTGTACGATGAGGATGTGCTGAAGGAAGACGCCTTCTACAGCTGGGAGAGTAGCAAGGACCCCGCTGAGCAGCAGGGCAAGGGCGTGGCCCTTAAATCTGTCACAGGCTTCTTCAAGTGGCTTCGTGAGGGGGAGGAGGAATCCGACCACAACTGAGGGCCGGTGGGGTCGGGGACTTGGAACCCCATGGACACTCGGATGGCCCAGCCAGCCGCCAGGACTGCAGGGGGGTCAGCAGCAGCGGCGGTGGCAGTGGGTGCCTGTAGTGCGATGTGTCTGAGCTAATAAAGTGGCTGAAGAGGCAGGATGGCGTGGGGCTGCCTGGGGCCCCCCTCCAGGATGCTGCCAGGTGTCCCTCTCCTCCCCCTGGGACACAGAGATATATTATATATAAAGTCTTGAAATTTGGTGTGTCTTGGGGGGGCACCATTGCTTGCCCCTGGGGTCCTTTTTTTATTTTCTGAAAATCACTCTTGGGACTGCCGTCCTCGCTGCTGGGGGCATATGCCCCAGCCCCTGCACCACCCCTGCTGCTGCCTGGGCAGGGGGAAGGGGGGGCACGGTGCCTGTAATTATTAAACATGAATTCAATTAAGCTCACTGCCTCTGCTTTATGGCCTTCTCCCTCGGAGAAGGGGTATGGATCGGCGGGCAGCCTCCTTTCCAGAGCTGGCACTACAGCAGCTTCCTAGAACTTGGCACCCCTCTTACCTCTTCCCCTGTCCATGATTGTGGGAGCTGGGAGTCACTTTCTTGGAGGGTGGCCCTTGGAGTGGACATGGTTGGGTTCCCTGTTGGTTAGGAGGGGAGAGGGAGACTGAATAGTTGTGTGGTATGTAGTAGAATACACTTGGCTGGTTTCACTTTCCAAGCAGAATGTGCTCGAACCCCTGTTGAGAGGAGGTGGTCCTGAGTTTCAGGCTTTGATAGGCGGGTCCTTTCTGATTACAAGGGCTCCCCAATAAAATGAGGGGGCTGGATGCAGTGAGGTCCCCTAACCCCATACAGTGCTACTGTCAGCCTGGTCCAATGAATTCTCGCCGAGACTCCAAGACATGTCGACTCCCCTCCCCTGCTCCATCCACCTTAAGGGTTCATTCCATGGTTGGGCCTGGGAGCAGAGGACAAGCTTTTTCCATGCCCCTACCCTGCGTGGCTCTGACGCCTGCTCGCCCCGCCCGCCCGCCTGCCTCTCACTTTGGATGGTGACGCGCTGGCCACGCCCCCCGCGTTAACGTCACCGGCCGGTCCCCTCTCCCGGGAGCGGTGGCGGATGCGCGGTTCCCACCCCCCTCCCCTGACGGGTTTTCCCCTCCCCGGTGGCGGCCGCGGCCCGACCCTCTGCAAGCCGATGGCCCGGGTCCCGAGCGCGGGCTAGGGCGCCTGGGTTCCCGGCCATGGGCTGTGTCGGCTCCCGGAGCCCGGCGGGTCAGGGTAAGAGGCAGAGGCCGGGCGCTGGTTGGGGAGTTCGGCTGCGGGGAGCGGGTGGGCCGGGGCCTTGAGGAAGGGGCCGGTGTCGGGAGAGGGAGGAGCCTGCACCAGGGAGGCGGGCCAGGCTAGAGGAGGGAGCGGAGCAGGCCCGAGCGGGGAAGAGACCGGAATCAACTTGGGTTCGGTCCCTTGGCCTGCCTGCTTCTGGGCTCTGCAGGGTAGACTCGTGTCTTTCCGTCTGGATTCCTACCGCTGAGGGTGGCAGGAGGCGCATGGCCTGGGGAGGGGTTAGTGAATCCTCTCCAGCCCATGGAGACTGTCCTTGTCCACCCACATATATTCATCATCGCCGCCACCACCCCTTCCTACACCTCTCTTTTTGCTGCCCTGGGAATGGCCCTATCCTGGTAACCTACCTCGCTTATCTGTGCTCCAATCTCCTCAAACCTGCAAACGCTGTCCAAGTTCCAGGGAATTTTTGATTAAACCTTACTCCCCACTTCAGAGTTAGATGGTTGATGAACGGGACTGAGACCCAACGTGGGGCACCTGTGTGCACCTGATCACCTCTCACCTCTTATAACTCTTTTAGTTCCCTCCCCCTACTCTCAACAATAACAATAACAACAAATCACCCTGCCCTGTGGAGGGAGCTAAACAGGTCTACCCACAACTGCTGACCCTTGCCTTGGTTCCCCTGGATGGTGCATGCTGGGGCCTGGTCTTAGTCCTGTGCATCTGTGGTTGGCCACTCTCCTTCAGTGTCATGGATTTCGCCAAGCCTCAGGCCAGGTAGGAACTCAAGATGTTGAGGGCCAGGTTTCTGATGGGTCCTGGGTTTCAGCATAGGTGGTCAGTCACACAGGCCTTTGTGTGGTTGGTACTAGAGGTTCTTTGGAACGAAGACTCAGATTTGTACTTTCCTTGGGTTCCCATGAGGAATCCTGGGATTTGTAGTACCAAATTAGCCTCAGCGTTTGAAGCTGAGAAGCATCAAGCTGCTCTGATCCCTCTGGCCCTGTAATGCTCGGAGTTCAGGAAGTCATTCCTCTTGTAGTCAGGGGAGAGTCTGGCTGACCTCAGGGTTAGGTACCAGCTAGGGCCAGGGATGGCCTGTAACCTTGTGTCTGTCTTCTGGTTGGTAGCATTTCTGGGAACCACCAGCTGGATGAGGCCCAGGGACAGAGACGGCTGCTCCAGCTAAAGGTCAGTTGGGATATACATTGCCTGTTGGCACTGCCTAGGGGAAGAGCCTCAGCAAGCGTAGCTCCACAGAGCTTGGCTGGGCCCCTGGCACGCCCACCTCCTCACAGCCATGAGACAGGAACACTTTCCTTATGTGACTAGGAACAGGTTCCAAGTGGGGAGGAGAATGGCTCAACATCCGGAACCAAAATAGGAATAGAACTGGGAGCTGAGCCTGGAGCAGTGCTGGGCTTTTGGTTCTCTGCATCAATACAGCCAGCATGCCTATGATTTCTGTGCTGGGCAAAATGTTTCTCTGGCAGCGCGAAGGGCCTGGAGGACGCTGGACTTGTCAGACAAGTCGCAGAGGTGAGACCAGGGACTGTAGATGCGATCTGGGAGGTGACGGGAACCCGAGGGGTAGGGTGTTCAGGTGGCAAGAGGAAAATTACTTTGGCTTAGCTATTGGGAACCAGGCTGAAACAGGAACAGCCAGGCTGGGGCCAGACAGGCCAGCAGGAAACAGCCGTAGGGGACTGGGACTAAAGAAAAAAATAAAAAAATCATAGGCTTATCAGAGAAGAAGAGTAAAGCTGAGCTTGGCGAAAGGAAAAAACCAAGAGAAGGAAGGCAGCAAGCCTGCAAAAGGGCCCAAGATGGTGGTGAAGAGGGGGCGGGTGATGGCGGTGAAGGGATGAATGAGGTGTGCTTTCCAAGAGGAATGGGTAAGCTGAGAAACCAGAGAAGATTCAGAATTTATCCAAGTTTGGGTTTCATCCCGAGGGGTTTGATGGCAAAATGTATCCAGTGGAGGAAGGGGGTCAGTGGCTGCCGCATGGTAGTCACAAAAGGAGCGGAGAGGTGTGTGTGGGGGGTGGGATAGGAGCTTTCAGGGTTGTGGGAATACCAGGCGGTGGCTGATGTCCTGGGAGGTGGAGGGGAGAGAGAGGTGAGGAGGAATGATGTGGCAAGACTGGATGAAAAGGAGGGGGATCTGGGCAGAAGTGGGCGCCCAGCTGAACAGCGTTCCCGCCCCCCTCCTTCCCCAGTGGCCTCGGACCCCGCGTGGGCTGTGGAGTGGATCGAGCTTCCTCGGGGCCTCTCTCTCTCTTCCTTGGGATCCGCTCGTACCCTCCGAGGCTGGAGCCGGTCCTCTCGCCCTTCCTCTGCCTCCGTGGACAGCCAGGACTTGCCAGAGGTGCTGGGCCCCTGGGGTGGGTAGGGGGTCGGGGGACCGTATCCACACGATGGGGACCTGTATCCCTCGCACCCGCCTCGCCAGCGCAACCCGTTCCTGGTTTCCTTTGCCGGAGCGCGGAGGCGCTATCCGGCCGGCAGCGAGGCCGCCCCCACCGGTCTGCTCCGCTCGGCGCCTCGCCAGCATCGGCGGGGCCGGCTGCTCGCGCCTCCGGCGCTGACGTCAGCGCATCCCGGGCCATATCCCTGGAGACCCTGTTGCATGGTGATGGGTTGCCAGGGAGACATACACCTTTTCTCTGGGCCCGGGCCGCAGCTGCGCGGAGTGCTGGCACTGATGGTGGCGGCTGGGGGGAACGAGGGGAGGGAGGGAGGGAGGGAGAGCCAGGAAACACCCAGCAGGTGCTCCTCCCTCCAGGCCTGGCCAGAGGCTACCGGCGCCACCCTTGGGGGCCCTGTCAGCCAGGTACTGAAGGGGAGGGACAGAGGGGGAGTGGGCCTGAGGTCAAGGGGCAGGTGGACCCCTTTTGTGAGGGGTGGGAACTGATGGAGTAGAGCTAAGGCAGTGCCAGGGAGGCTGCCTGCATCTCTGACTTGATTTGTTGAGGGAAACATTCGCCTGGGCTTGCCAAGGAGCACAGAGCCAGGTGCAGCGTGGAGGTAGGAGCCCAGGTGAATCAGACTCAGGCCTTGCCATCCTGAGATCCCTCAGGAGAGACAAGGGTCATGCTGGGGGTGGGCAAATGACTGAAAACACAATAAGAGGTGGCACTGGAGTGAGGCCTTGAACGGTAGGGAACATTTGTCAGGCAAAGATGGCATTCTTTGCCCAGGGGAAAGCTGGGTTTCTTTCTCTGGAGGAAGGCAGGAGGCTGCCTGCTGTCAGGGAACGTGAGAAATGGGGTTTTACTGGACAGAGGAGATCAGGGGTGGATTCCAAGCAGGCCTGGTGGGAGGCAGAGCCTCACAGAGTCCTTCGGTGCCTGGCTGTGAGCTTGCACTTCACTGGACATGGAAGGGGCCCAGGAAAGATTTTAAACAAGGACATGTTGTGACCAGTTGCACCCCAGGAATATTGTGTACACGTATGCATTGCCTTGTTCATTCGGCCTGTGCATTTTGAGAGAGTGCTCAGTGCCAGGCATTGTGCTAAACCCTGGCATGCAGCAGTGACCAAAAGAGACCGAATTTCTGAAAGAGCTTAAGGCCAGTGAGGGAGACCAACAAGAAATGAGGAAAGACATAAACTAGACCATAATTACACACTCGAGATACATTAATAGAAGGTGGTGACTTGTTACAGAGGGAGGGTAGACAACTGGTAGGGTGGCCAGGAAGCCTTCTCTGAGGGAGTGCTATTTGAGCCAAGACCAGGAAGATGAGAAAGAGCCGGCCAGACATGGGAAGGGGGAAGGAGAACACTTACACAACATAGGAGGCTGAGAACAGCATGGAGAGGAGCTGGGGGGACTACCGCCATGCTACTCTGGGCAAGGAGCATCTGCAGAGGGTGAGGGTAGTATCAGAGGTAGTTGGCGATGGAATCGTTAGAGCTTAACGACAGATGTGCATAAGGAAAGCTTTTGGGAGAGTTGATGGTAATGCTGAGGTTTGGAACCAGGCTGAACGGGAGAATGGTGGGATGATGCCAAGTGAGGGCCAGATGTGGAGGAGAAGGTGTTGGGTTTGTTTTTGGTCATCCTGAGCTTGTAGCTGTGATAGGCTCCCGAAACAGCTACAATGTGGGTCTGAAGACAGAGGAGAGGGGTGAAAGGAAGCGACATGGATATTATATCCTTTTCCATTGTTCTTTTCTCCAAGACCCTACTCCATGATTCTTCCGGAACTGTCTTCTCTGGGAGCTTGGAAGGCAGAGGCTTAGCTATCGTTCTGCTCCTTTGGGCCTGCCCACATCTCCATTGCTTCCTGGGGGGAAGGGGGGGACAATTTGCTGGTGCTGTTTTCTTACCTTCGTACATATCCCAGCAGCCTTTGGGAAACATGGGGAATGGGCACGTGGGAGGACACTGCTGTCAGAGGAGCACTCACCCTCCGATTCTGTCATCCAAGGTGAATGTTGGAGACACAGTCGCGATGCTGCCCAAGTCCCGGAGAGCCCTAACTATCCAGGAGATCGCTGCACTGGCCAGATCCTCCCTGCATGGTATGCACCCCTTCCCGTGCCTGTGGCTATTTGGACCTTTTTTTTTTTTTTGCTTTTTAATATATTTTATTGATTTTTTTTTTATATTTTATTGATTTTTTTTTACAGAGAGGAAGAGAGAGGGATAGAGAGTTAGAAACATCAATGAGAGAGAGTCATTGATCAGCTGCCTCTTGCACACCCCCTACTTGGGATGTGCCCACAACCAAGGTACATGCCCTTGACCGGAATCGAACCCGGGACCTTTCAGTCCTAGGGCAGTCGCTCTATCCACTGAGCCAAACCGGTTTCGGCATGGACCTTTCTTACATGCCCTTGGGGATTGTATCCTGTGAGCTCCTGCTGCTGTCTCCTTTTTCCTCTCTTTCTCAGGTGAATCTGTGCCGCCCGCCCAGCCAAAGGCACATGTGGACCCTCAGTGCCACCACCCTTTCACTTCCCTCCCAGATGCTCCCTGCTCCATGCTCTTACCAGGCTTTCTGACTCTGCTCCACCTCCAGGTATTTCCCAGGCGGTGAAGGACCACGTGACCAAGCCCACTGCCATGGCCCAGGGTCGAGTGGCTCACCTCATTGAGTGGAAGGGCTGGAGCAAGCCAAGCGACTCTCCTGCTGCCTTGGAATCAGCCTTTTCCTCCTATTCGGATCTCAGTGAGGGGGAGCAAGAGGCTCGCTTTGCGGCAGGTGAGTGACAGAGGGACAATCAGCCTCGCGTTTGTCATAGGGATGTTCTCTCTCATCTCCTTGGGCCTGATGTGGGGTTTGGAGTGTTTCCACACCCATGTGTCTTCCCTCTCCTGTCTCCAAGCTGAGCCCTAATCTTAGCTCGCTTCTGCTAATGAATTCCATATCTTCCCCCACAGGAGTGGCTGAGCAATTTGCCATTGCAGAAGCCAAGCTCCGGGCATGGTCTTCAGTGGATGGTGAGGACTCGACCGATGAATCCTATGATGAGGACTTTCCTGGGGGAACTGACTCAGGTGAGGGGACATTCCGTACTAGGACTGCCACCTGGGGTGGAACTGCCTGACAGGCCCTCTGGTTCAGAGCTCAGCCTTGGGAAGGGGAGATCCAGAATGCCCTCAGCCTTTGGGAGGAGAGCGGAGAGAGGCAGACTCTGTCCAGGTAATGCTCGCCTTTCTGTGGGCAGGAGGGCTGTCCACTCTCATGGGTGGGCAGTCAGCAGGTGGAAATGAAGTAGTTCCTTTCTCTGTCCATCTATGCAGTTGAGCCTTGCAGTTCTCAAAAAAAAAAAAAAAAAAAAAAAAAAAAAAAGGCCTGGAGACCTCACCAGCACCTTCTGTGCAACCATGTTGTCTCTGGGAGGGTCTGCCGTGTCTTGCCTTTGGGTGGGTCTGCCGTGTCTTGCCTCTCAACACAGACAGATGCTTAGTGCAGCAGCGACAGCACCTCATGGGGCTGTGACGCAGGCAAAACAGGAAGCTTGCTGAGCCTGCACTGCCCACAGGGCTGCTTGGCTCCAGCTTAGCATCGGCGCATTCCAGGCCGGCGGGCCTCGGGCCTCTCTCCCCGCTGGTACGTGCAGAAGCGACCCCGTGGGGCTGTGCAGCTGTGCGAGGCCCTCCTCTCATCTTTCATTCTCGGGACCAAATGGCTTTCTCCGTAGCTTCTGGGCTCAAGCCTCCTAGACCACCATCCCCCGCCCACCCCTTTGTCTTTGAAGGTTGCATCCTCATGCCCCATCCCTTTAGCTAATTAACATTCTCTGAAGTGGGAACGCATTAAAGCGGCTCTGAGACGGCTGGAGTCCAGAGGGGACTGATGGGGATGACCGAACCACAGTGTTTTTGTTTGATTGAGTTCCAGGCCTCTTTTGACCCTGGGATATAATGAAAATAGCTACATTCATCCAAGGCCACTACCAGCCCATGCAGAATCGTTGTGCAAATTTTAAAAAAATATATTTTATTGATTTTTTACCGAGAGGAAGAGAGAGGGATAGAGAGTTAGAAACATCGATGAGAGAGAATTATCCATCAGCTGCCTCTTGCACACCCCCTCCTGGGGATGTGCCTGCAACCAAGGTACATGCCCTTGACCGGAATCGAACCTGGGACCTTTCAGTCCGCAGGCTGACGCTCTATCCACTGAGCCAAACCGGTTTCGGCTCGTTGTGCAAATTTGAAAAAAAGAGTTATCCTTTTCCTGGTGGGCACAGCCCCATGCCAGGGCATGCTGCTTGGTGAGCAGAGTGTGGTCTGAATTTCACTTACTGCCTTGGACACACTCCCCTTGGGCAGCAAAAAAACCTGCACAGCATGTAGGTATCCCCGCCTTTATTGCTTTCTTACTGTGCGCCAGACTGTTCTCTCAGCAACCCTGTAAGGAGGGTATGTAAGAATCCCCGATTCACCATTAAGGAAACTGAGGCAGAGAGGTTAAGTGACTTGCCTCAAGTTCCCCCAGGTCCTACCCACTATCCCTGGAGCTGTACGAAGGCAGAGAGCGGAGACGTGGCTGCTGGGCTGGCCGATCGAGACGGGGCTAGCGGGGTTATCTTCTGTTCTCTCCCCGACAGACATGGCTGGGCAGCTGCCCCTGGGACCCTGCCTCCAGGACCTCTTCGCCGGCCACCGGTTTCCCCGGCCTGTGCGCCAGGGCTCCGTGGAGCCCGAGAGCGACTGCTCGCAGACAGTGTCCCCAGACACCCTGTGCTCCAGCCTGTGCAGCCTGGAGGACGGGCTGCTGGGCTCCCCGGCCCACCTGGCCTCCCAGCTGCTGGGTGAAGAGCTGCTTCTCGCCAAACTGCCCCCCAGCCGGGAAAGTGCCTTCCGCAGCCTGGGCCCCCTGGAGGCCCAGGACTCGCCCTACAACTCGCCCCTCACAGAGCCCTGCCTTTCCCCCGCGGAGGTGGAGCCGGCCCCCTGCGAGGACTGCCAGCCGCTCTGCCCACCGGCGGCGGCGGGCAGCTGGGAGCGCCAGCGGCAAGCCTCCGACGTGGCCCCTTCTGGGGCGGTGTCCTTAGAGGAGGACGAGCCGGAGCCGGAGGAACAGTGACGCAGATCCTGCCCCGCGGTGGCATGTGCCCCCTGGCTGCGGCGGGGGGCACACGGCCTCTGTGCCCAGTCGTGGGCTCGAGGCTTCCAGCAGAGCTCCCAACGCCTGGGGGGGGCTCCTGGGAGCACTCGCTCCTCATTGTGTGTTTTTGCATGAAAGTGTCTAGAGAGGAGGCAGGGGCCAGGCTGGGGGCGCATGTCCAGCCCCCACTCCTGGGGCTTGCCGGGGGTTGCCCGGGGCCCCTGGGGCATGGCTACAGCAGTGGCAGAGTGATGTTCATGTTCTTAAATCAAAAAAAACGCCACCTGTTTCCTCCTCTGGTGATGTGAACCTCCGAGGGGGCAGTCGTGACTGGGCTACGTGGGACAGAACGGAAGGGAGCCCGGCCCCCCTGCCCCTCCCCCGCCTCTCTCCTCTGCTTCTCTCCTCACCTCCACGTCATGTACAGTGCTTGATAGAACCACCCCTGCCCAGGGAGCCACTGAGCCATCCCCCGGGGTCCCTTTCCTAGCTGGGCTCATCCTGTGCTACATACACCTCTCCATGGTCTCTAAATCTGATTTCCTAAAGAAAGAGGGGTTGTGGTCTGTTCTTTCAGTCGGATCTTCTCTGGGAGGCGTTGGCATAATGGGGCCTTTTCCTGGCCACCCTGAAGGGGTCTGGGCCCTCTCCGAGGCCCTTGTAGGGCGTGTGGGCAGGGACCCCCGGGGGTCCCTGCCCACCAGGTTGCTGTCGGGTAGAGTTGGAAGAGGACAGGGCTCTGGCTGCTACAGAGATGTGACTTCTGTGTTCTTCCAGAGAGGGCCACCAGGGGGCCACACGGGCGGCCCCGAGCAGGGCAGGAGCTGTGCCAAGGGAGCTGTGCCTTGGGGAGGAAAGAGGGCAGTGCCTTTTTGGCCGAAGGAAAGGCCAGAGCTACAGTCCTGGGGGCAGCCAGGGTGCGATGGCCCAGCAGCGGAGGCCTCTGCGGATCCTACACTCCACGGACAGCAGGCTCGGAGTTTTAAGGCCGTGGGGTGTAGGTGGCCACAGATCGCAGGCCTTGCAGGCTTTGGCAGGGCAGGCAGGAGGGCCCAAGGTAAGTACACGAGGTGATGGGCACAAGCATCCTCTATACAAGTGGCTCAGTAGATGTTTATTTTGTTCTATTTAAGAATTTGTTTTATTAAATATAAAAATCTTTGTAAATCTCTATATACATCTGGTCATTGGAGGTTCCAGTATAAACCCATCGTAGTTCTACCCCTTTTCCCCCCCTCAAAGGGGCAGCAGGGGTCAAGTACCATACCCCTTCCCCATCCCCATCCCCATCCCCATCCCGCCAGGGCAGAGCTGATCTCCCTGCCCTCGAACACTTCCAGGGGGGTGCTGTGTCCGATCCCGAGTAGGGCGAAGTGGAAGAGGCTGGTGCCCTGGTCTGGAAGTGGGGGCCCGGGGCCCCGGCCTTTGGCTGTAGCTGCCTCCTGTTTTCCCACGGCAGAAGGGACAGGAGAGCTGCAGGATCCGGGCTGGACAGCAAGGCCACTGCCACCCCAGGCTGCCTGCTGAGGAGGAAGTCACTGGCACTTGTCGTCGCTGTCGGAAGGGCTGCCCTCCCCGGGGAGGCTGTGGCGGGAGCGCGGCCCCCAGAGCGCGTGCACCTCCGTCGTCTCCGTGTCGCTGCTGCTGGTGACGCTGTCACGGAAGCTGGCGAGGGGCGGCCGGACTTTGACGCCCTGTGCCGTGACCGAGCCCTCGATTGCCTTCCGGAGCTGGAACGGGGAGAGGGTCACACTCTCCAGCCGTCCCCTCCAGGTGGCTGGACATGAGCTCCCATGCCTTTTTGGGGAGCAGAAGTGGCGTTGACAGCCACTGTCGTCTTACCTCCTTGAGGGTAACGATCCCGATGAGCCTGCCAATACTGGTAACGTAAGCGTGGTCCACTCCCAGGAGCGAGAAGATGGTGTGAGTCTACAGGGTGGGGAGACAACCATTGGGCTTTTATGCACAAGGGGAGAGGGGCCCAGGAGGAGGTGTTGGGGTGGGGGCAGGATAGAGGGGGTGCTCCAGGTGGTGGGGGAGCGGGGAGGCCAAATGGAGGGAAAAGTATGAGATGGTACAACCAATCTTCAGAAACTTGACAGTGAATCTTTATGTGGATGGGAAACAGAGGAAGGATTCTTTATCCATGTTAGCAAGGAGAACGGATGAGAGAGCTGTTTAAATACGACACCTAATGATTGGCCAGGCACCTAGCTAAGTCTTACATTAATTGGTGTTTAATGTTAGCACTGTCCTGAGAAGTCTGACACCCATTGTACAGGACAGGCCGCATGAGGCTCAGTGGTGCAGTGACTTGCTGGGGGTCCTCAGTAAGACGTGGCCCAGCAGCTCCAGGCCACTTTTCAGTGCCTTCTGGGAGGAGGCACTGCCCTAGGGGGCCTATGCGGATGTCCGATTAGTCATGGATATATCCAGGAGGAACGTTCCACACCCCCCTTAGCAGTACTGGCCCTGAGACCTGTTCCTCTGACCCTGCCTGGGTGGCTGACACATGCTTCCCCTTTGCCCTCAGCTGGCTGAACATGTAAGGTATCCCTCACCCTGGCTCTGATCCCCCCCTCCCCTCTCCCTCCCCCCAGTATTGGCCTGCAGCACTCTGTATGTCTCTCTGTTTGCCTTTTCTAGGGCCCAAAGCATCCCAGGTCTTGGTGACATGTAGCTTACAGTCCAAGGGACAATAGTATCCCCCAACCCCCATGTTTTTCTTGCTTTGGACCCTTCCCCCAGGCTTTCCAATGTAACCACCCAGGCTTCAGAAATTGTCAGCTAGTTCTTCTTGTGCTCCAAGTGGATTTTCTGGGGCCAGATGTCTTGTAAAAACACTCTACTGACTCAGCAGTTCCTGGAATTTTTGGCCTATCAGTTATCACACTGTTTATAGTTTACTTGTAAGCCTCTTGGCTTAATGCTTGAATTCAAATGGGCATTACTATTCCAGCTTCTTGAGTACCAGCTGCTCAGAAATCATTATAATGATTTTAACACTTTAAAAATGCTTCCTTGTACATCTGCTGAATTCTTTAGGAAAGAACTTCCTGAACTTTCCTAATTTCCTCCTCCTAAGGCATGGCAGTACTTACAAAAGGAGGTGGAATTCCAGTTTTAGCATAAGTTTTTCTGGGTTCCTTTAATAAATGTCATAACTGCCATTGTTTGTTTAGCAAGTCCCTTGAATCCTACATGCTACAAGTTATCTTTAATTTCCTCATCTGATTTCATTGGGAAACATATCTTCATAAGATTTCCTGTATTGCCCTGCTGCTGTGGCTCAGTGGTTGTCCGTCAACCTATAAACCAAGAGATCACGGTTTGATTTCTGGTCAAGGCACGTGTCCAAGTTATGGGCTCGATCCTCAGTGTGGGGTGTGTATGAGGCAGCCAATCAGTGGTTCTCTCTCATCATTGATATTTCTATCGCTCTCTCCCTTCCTCTCTGAAATTATACATATTATACAAATTATATATATATATATATATATATATATATATATATATCCTGTACTAATAATCCCTTGGATTTGTCTTCTTATGTTTAATAATCCATCTCATCCTCTCTCAACGATCATATTAATTCGTTCCCCTGAATTTTCCATAATCCTAATCAGAGTGAGCTTCTGATGATATGCCTTTTGGGTTTGTAAACCACTTGTCCTGGGGAGTCACCAGGCCTTATTGATCTACCCCCTAAACATCCTGGCAATTCTTCCTGACTTCCTCACCATCCTGATCAGGATGGGACTGTAACATCTTTTTTATTTATTTTTGGTTAATCCTCACCTGAGGTATTTTTCCATTGCTTTTAGAAAGGGTGGGAAAGAGGGAAGGATATCTATACTTCTTATCTAATAAAAGGGTAATGTGCTAATTAGACAGGACATCTTCCAGGCATCCTTCCGGACAAAGCCACAGTGACGGGGGCTGAGGCAGAGGTAGTTAGGAGTGATCAGGCCAGCAGGGAAGGGCAGTTAGGGGCAGCCGGGCAGACAGGGGAGGACAGTTAGGGGTGACCAGGCCAGAGGAGAGGGCAGTTAGGGGTGATCAGGCAGGCAGGCAGGTGAGCAGTTAGGAGCCAGCGGTTCTAGATTGCAAGAGAGATGTCCAACTGCCTATAGGGATTGGGCCTAAACCAGCAGACAGACATGCCCCGAGGGGTCCCGGAATGGAGAGGGTGCAGGGGGTGAAGGACCCCACCCCCCTGCATGAATTTTGTGCACCAGGCCTCTAGTGTGTGTGTGTGTGTGTGTGTGTGTGTGTGTGTGATATATATATATATATATATATATATATATATATATATAAAACAGAGAGAGAGAGAGAGAAAGAGAGAGAGAAACATAGATGTGAGAAGAGAGGCACATCGATTGGCTGCCTCCCACACTTGCCCCTACAGGGGCCAGGGATCAAACCTGCAATTTAGGTATGTGTCCTTCACTGGAAATGAACCTGAGACACTTTGGTACGCAGGCTGATGCTCTAACCATTTAGCACACCGGACAGGATGGGACTATAACATCTTAATGGGTTATCCTTTCTGCCTCCCTTCTATCCAAGAATTCCCATCCTATCAGCTTTCTCAGAGTTAGAGCCCAGACTTCCCAGAATGGCCGATAGAACCCTTTTTAAGCCCATCTCAGCCTGTCTTTCTCTTCTCAGATTCCACCAGACTCTCTGGCTTCCAGCCTCACCTAATCACTCATCCTATCCTGAAAATATTAATTTCTTGCACACTTCCTTCATTACGCCATCTCTTAAAGCCCTCTATTTTTCACCCCTAAGTATAACTAGTAGTGATTTCTAAAATATATTGACTACTTACTGTGTGCCAGGTTCTTTTCCCGCATGTATGACCTCCCCAATCCTCAGAAAACCCTATGGTGCAGGTACTCTCTTCGTACCCCATTTTACAGATAAGGAAACGAAGCGAAGAAATTTTACAAGGTTACACAGCTAGCCAGCCCTGGGCGAACGAGGATTAGGTTCAGTCTGACCCAGTGTTGGCACTCTATTTCCTCCCCCACCTCCACTCACTGCTGCTGGGTAGGTGGCCTCTGAATGAATGCGGGACTTAGCTGATAAGGTAATCTCCGGTGACACAGGTTCCTGAATAGTCTCAAGTATTCTCTGGCCCCTCTGGATGTTCCCCTCCGGAACTTAACTGAGCTACTACTTACTGACTCCTCGGGCCTGCAAGGACATTTTGAATTCTAATCTTCTGTTCTTATCACTTCCAGTTCTTTGTACTTCGGGTAGTCGGTTCCTCAAAGGTTTCGCTTCCTCTGATTTTTTTTTTTTTTTTAAAGTTTGTAACAAACACCTACTTTGTTCTTTTTCATTTTAATTTCATTAGACACCAGGGAGTTCATTGGAGAGCCTGCATTTCTTGGGCTTGGGAACAGTGAGTTGAAAGGGAGAGGGACAGCGTGGCCCGCTGAAAGAATACTGGGCCTGGGGCCAGGAACTCTGGGCTCTCGGCCTGACTCTGCGATACTGAACGAGGCAAGTGACCCCACTGCCTCAGTTTCCCCATGTATTAAAATGGTTCAATCCACAGGCTTTTGGGCCAGTTTTGGATTCTGCTACATACTGGCTGGCTATGTGATCTTGGCCAAGTTGCTTAACTTCTTTGAATTTTAATGTCCCCATCCATAAAAACTGGAAGTATCACACGATCTATCTCAGTGTAGCTGTGAGGATGAAATCAAACACGTGGACAGCTTAGCCCAGTGCCTGAGGCTCAGCAGGCACTCCTAGAACGTCAGCATCATCAGCATCTTTCTGCGACTTAGTTTGGGAACTAAGTAAGATAATGGAAAAGCTTTAGCCTTCTTGGGAAGAAAGGCTTTAAATCAGGGTGGGGAACATATAAGGTCCACAAAATCATTTGGTCTGGGCCCTGCCAAGGCGTGAGGGGTGAATTGATGAAACGTTTGACCGAACATAGCAGGCTCATATATAAATAGCTGATAATTTTGTACGGCCCACGGAGGATGTTATAAATATCCGAACGGGCCTTGGCAGCGAGAAGGTTCCCCACCCCTGCTTTAAATAAAAGCCAAATGTATTATTCTCGGGCCTACCTCCTTTTTCTCCTGCAACTGCACTGCCCTGCCTCACTCACTTTGATCAGAGGTCTTTACCGGAAGAATTACCCGTTCCTTTCATACATTTTGTTTTTTGCTTTTCTTTTGTTTCTCTTTTGTTCCCTGCCAGGGCTCCTGCTTGTCTACACTAAACTGGCTCTGAGCACAGCTTGCCTCTCAGTTAGCTGTGCAAACTGCAGACCTCGGGAATGCTCCCCCGCCGGCTCCGCGCGCCCCCCCCCCCCCCCCGCCCCGCACAACAGAGGTTTGCACGGTAAAATCTAACAATTTAGCTAAAACAGGGCTCTGCCCTAGCAGCCTGCTGGGTGTGTGCCTGCCCTGCCCGCCTTCCCTGAGCAGCCTGAAGGTGCCCAAGGATGCCGCCACTGCCCCATTCTGGGGAGCCCAATGCAGTCCGTCCTCAGAGAGCCCCGTTCTCTAACGCCCGCCTCACCCACCACCAACCTGTCTGCGCTCAAGTTTTCTCCCCGTTTCCGCAGGCTGGTTTTGTCCTTCTGCTGAGCTGTCTTCCTGCGTCCTTGCCTGTTTTCCTTCAGCCTACGTTCACTGAGACTTTCTGGGGTCTGACATTCCAGGCCCCCCACTGGGCCTTTCTCATCTTTGTTGATCTCTTCTCGGCAGTGTCCCCACCCCTACTTGGATGTTTGTTAGCTTGTTTATTAGATTTTCTTTTCCTGCTTGTTTCTCACCCTTTTTTTTTTTTTTTTTCCCCAGTGTGGGTGTATCAGCCTTGTTGGGAGCTGGCAGCTTCCCTCCCCGCTCTGACCCTAGCCTGGCCTCCTGGCTCCCACCCAGCTTGAGCCCGGTCTTTGTTGCTGCGTTGGTCCAGAGTTCCCAGGGGGCAAGGCGGAGAAGAGGAAAGATGATGCTTGATTCCGCCGCAGGCAGGAAGAGGCCGAGGGGACTCCACGCCTGGCCTCCCATGGTTTGAAGCAACGTGCTTGGAAAACATCTCAGCACAGAGCACGCTCTCTGCTGTCCCTTTTGGTGCCCACTGACTCGAGTCCAAACTTGTGGGAGGGCCTAGACCCCCACCCACCCAGGCCGGCCCCGGGTTGCTGGCCCTACCTTGTGCAACGAGGTCCGCTCCACCAGCTGGAAGGGGGCAGGGTCGATTTTGCAGTCACTGAAATTGACCGGTTCGTCTAGTTGCTGCTCCTCCCACTCCAGAACCTGAGGGCACGAGACTAGGAGGGTCAGGCAGGAGGTGCCACCAGCGGCCCTCACCTCCCGGAACGCTGGGCCTGCCCCTTTTCCTACCCCGCGCGTGTCCCTCCCATGGGGACAGAAGCCAAGAGGATGACTGAACACATCCCGGAAGAAACAGGGTCCAGAGTCCAGTTACACCTTACCTCTGCAGGGGTCATTTCACTTTCCAGGTCTGAGTCGCTCTAGGAGAGAGGGAGGCTGGCAGCTGGGGCCGGGGAAAGGGGGTACACCCCCACCCCCCGGGGGAGGTTTATCACCCAGACCCCGGCCTGCCCTGTCCACTGCCCCTTTGCTGCAGAAAGAAGGGAGCACTTACTGCCAGGGAAATTCGGACCCGCTTCAGCTTGCGCTTCTCACATGATTCCGACTTCTCCAGCTTGGTTAGAGCCGACAGGGAGAGAAGAGGAATTGAGTTAAAGGGAGAAGGGGGGTGAGAAGAGAGGTGAGCCAGGGGAAGGGTGCATGGCAAGGACAGAGCTGGCGTCCAGGAGGGCAGAAGGGCAGGGGGAGTGGAAGCAGGTGCTACGGGGCCACTGCAGAGGTGATCTCGGCGTTAGAGGTTGAGCTGGAGGAGAGGCTGCAGCCACTCACCTCTGGAGCGCCCTCGGGGGGTGGACTGCCACAGAAGAGGCTCCTGAGGGCGATGCCAGCCTGCTCCACGTTCCCTGTGTTCCCAAACACAAGGCCCTGGGGCAATGTCATCTTTGGGGGAGCGGGGAGGAGGGGAAGGGGGAGGAGAGGGCAAGGGGAGAGGCATCCTGGTTCTACCCCTGATCCATTCAGGCAGCCTCTTCGCCGGGACGCGCCCCAGCTAAAAGGTGCACAGGGGCCGAAACCGGTTTGGCTCAGTGGATAGAGCATCGGCCTGCGGACTGGAAAGTCCCAGGTTCGATTCCGGTCAAGGGCATGCACCTTGGTTGCGGGCACATCCCCAGGAGGGGGTGTGCAGGAGGCAGCTGATCAATGATTCTCTCTCATCGATGTTTCTAACTCTCTATCCCTCTCTCTTCCTCTCTGTAAAAAAAATCAATAAAATATATTTAAAAAAATAAATAGAAAATAAAAGGTGCGCAGGGGCCCTTGGGTGACCTCAGAGGTTGGGCCGGCTCTGTGGGCAGAGGGAGGTGCCGGTGGGTGCTGGGCTCACCTGAGGGGCTCTCCCTGAGGCTCATGGAGTTGCTGGACGCCCTCTTGAGAGCGGGCTTCAGAGGCTTGTGAGTGTCCCCCCGGGCTGCCGGGAAGCCCGCGTCCTCTGTGCTCACCTGCACAGGCAGAGGGGCAGGTGAGGCGGGGGCCCTGGGATGCCGCGAGGCCGCCCTCCTGACCAGTCTCCGCACCGTTAGGAGGAGGAGGGTGTGTGACCGCAGGGTTTGGCCTCACCTGGAAGCGGACCGAGCTCTCGGGGCTGGAGGGACTCTCCTGGTCAAGGGGCGGCGGAGGGGTCTGGGCAGCTCTGCGCTCCTGCATGTGCTGCCGCCGGCGGGCAGGGCTCAGCTGGGCCCCCAGCAGCGCCACCACCTGGGAGCGCTCGATGGAGCCCAGGAGGATCATGGACTCTGCACGGAGCGGACGGGAGGACTCAGGAGCCGAGAGTGAGGCCCTCCTCCCCACCCCCAACCTCCTCCCGCCCTCAGAGGGGGGCCTTGGACGCAGGCCACACGCCAGGGGGAAAGCCCTGCCTGGCAAACGCTGGCTCTTCCTGTTCCCTCCCCCTTTCCGGGCAGCGACCCTGGGGGAGGCTCAGAGGTCCCGGCTCCCCGCTGGTCTCACCAGAGGACTCAACCAGGGCGAGCATGCGGCCCTTGGTCCTGCGCAGCGCCAGCCGCAGGTCCCGGAAGGTGCAGCTGAGGGCCACGTGGGGGACATCTCGCACCATGATGTCCTCCACTCGCACCCGGTACTGCCTGGGGGCAGAGAGAGGCATTGGTTTGTGGTCAGCATGGGGAAGAGAGCCGGGGCACCACCAGCAGGGCCATAAGGAAGGCCTAGAGCCCATGGGACAAGGACGAAAGGCCAAGGAGGAGTCCCTGCCAGGGTATGGACCCGGGGAGCTCTGGGAAGCAGGGAGCAAAGTGGCTGGTCTCCCAGCTTCACTGACTGTGGACCCTGCTTGGAGGCGGGTGTGAGGGGGTCCTGGGCCACCTTCTGCCCCCCCCCCTCACTCATAACCCCTTGGTTGCCCAGCCCTCCATACTGGTGGCGGCCCCAGCCCAGCTCAGGCAGATAAGGCAGCTTCTTGATTCGGATGATGCTGTCGTAGAGCGAGGGCTGTAGGCTCTGGGCGACCGCGTTGGCCAGGATGACGGCGATCATGACGGGCAGGATGTGGGCAATCTGGCCCGTGAGCTCAAACACAATCACCGCCGTGGACACCGTGTGTGTCACCGCTCCGGCCAGTGCAGCCGCTCCTAGGGAAGCCACCTTCAGTCTCCTCAGGGTGCTGGGGACCAGATGGCCCTTCCCACCTGGGGACAGTCCCAGGGGCACCCTCAGGGCTGCCCAGGACAGTTTTGAGAATTGGGTTTCTGCATTGGAAGGAAGCCTGGTTTCTGCCAGCAGGGGGCACCAGAGCCTTAGGCCCTGTGGCCCTACCAGGGGTTTTCCAGGGCCTGAGGGGGAACGGGAGCAAGGAGCACTCACCCACCACGGCATAGCCCCCAGGCACAATCCGGTAGGTGCTGCTGTCCGTGTGAATCCCATCCGGGAACCAGGCGGCCATGCTTTCGCCCACCAGACGCCCAAATGCCGCTCCTTCAGGGAGTGGGGTGGGAAGAGAAATAGGCAGTGGAGGGGGAGGGTGGGAACACTAGGAAGAGAGAGGGTCAGAGGGTGGGGGAGGGGCCGGTGGGTCATTCAGTGCAGGGGACAGTCCTTTGGGGTGGGCACTGGGTCAGGGCCAGGCCAAGACCCACTTGCGGGCCGTGAGGGTATGGCCAGTCGGTAGCCAGAAGGTGGGAAGGGGAAACAGGCAACTGAGGACTCACCAATGACAAAGACAGGCATGAAGGCCCCACAGGGAACTGGGATGGTGGTGGCCAGTGCAGACATCCAGAACTGTAGGCGGAAGGCAGTTCAAACAGGTAGACGTGCCACTTGGCTCCAGGTAGTCCCTGGCTCCCTCCCAGAATTCCCCAGGGAGGAGGGCTCCAGAACCAGATGGCTTGGGTTTAAGTTCTCACTTTGCCATTAGCTATGTGATGTTGGGCCAATTGTGATCCCTTTATGTCTCAACTTCTCATTTTTTTAAAAAAAAATTGATTTCAGAGAGGAAGGGAGAGGAAGAGATAGAAACATCAATGATGAGAATCCTTGATTGGCTACTGCCTGCATGCCCCCCACTGGGCACCGAGCCTGCAACCCAGGCATGTGCCCCTGACCAGAATCAAACCAGGAACTCTTCCGTCTGCAGGCTGACGCTCTATCCACTGAGCCAAACTGGCTAGGGTTCTCTCTCTCTCTCTCTTTTAATTTTATTGACTTTTAGAGAGGAAGGTAGAGGGATAGAGATAGAAATATCGATGGGAGAGAAATATCAATTGGCTGCCTCCTGCATGCCCCCTACTAGGGATTGGCCAGCAACCCGGGCATGTGCCCTGACCATCCTGACAAGGAATCAAATCAGTAACCTCTTGGTTCATGGGTCAATGTTCAACCACTGAACCACACTGGCCGGGCTTGAATGCCCATCTTTGACAGGGAGACTAATGGTACCTTTCCATAGCATGGTTGTGAGGCTTAAAGGAGTTAGTATGCGGTCGAGACCGGTTTGGCTCAATGGATAGAGCGTCGGCTTGGGGACTGAAGGGTCCCGGGTTCGATTCCGGTCAAGGGCATGTACCTTGGTTGCGGGCATATCCCCGGTAGGGGGTGTGCAAGAGGCAGCTGATCGATGACTCTTTCTCATCGATGTTTCTAACTCTCCATCTCTCTCCCTTCCTCTCTGTACAAAATCAATAAAATATATTAAAAAAAAAAAAAAAAAGAGTTAGTATGCGGAAAGTGCTGAGAACAGTGCCGGGCCCCTAATGAGCCTGGGTAAGCATTAGCCATACGTTTGTACGGAGCCCCACCTTCATGAGAATGAAGATGACCAGCGTGAGGAAGACATTGGCACGCGGAGGGCTCCAGGCCTGTGCAGTCCCGGGCGGCTCCAACTCCTCCACCAGGCCCTGGCGGACCCACGTCCGGTTGTCAAACAGGGTGAACAGCGTCTCCTTCTGTGACAGCTACAGGGGAGGAGGGTGCCTCAGGCCAGGGAACACACAGGATGAGGGGACGGGGCCCGCAGGAGGGCAGGGGCTGTTGGCGTTAGGAGGGGTGCATCCCAACGGAAAGCATGCGTTCCTGTCCTGCCTGGGGTTACCTGTCCGGCCATGAACTGTCCCAAGCCAGGGGGGAAGGTCAGCGTGGAGATGAGCAGAGTCACGAGAGCCGGGAAGAGCAGGCGCCTAGAGATGCAGGATTCACAGCGTCAGACACGGCGGTGCACTGGCCACGGGTGAGAGGCTGGGGGCCCTCACACCCCTCAGGGCTGAGGTGGCCGCAGAGCCTCGGCTCTCCCATAAAAGCACCAGTTCTGAGAGGAGGTCGGTCCCCTTTGCTGTTCACGAGACAACGGTGCTGAGGGTGGTGGCCATTGGGGTTATCATGAGCCCCAACTACATCCTGTCGGCTCCAAACTCCCTAGGGAGTAGTCATGGCAGCAAGTCCACCCCCCAGCTCCCTCCGGGACACCTCGGGGCTGTGTCCCCTTGCTTTGCCCTCAGCAGGCCCAGCAGAAGGGCTCCGCGGGGGAGGAACGAGGTCCTGGGCTGTCTGTTTCTCTGCGGTGACTCAGGCTGAAGGTCAGTGCGCGGGGAGAAGCGGGGGTCACGTAGGAAGTGACCGGAGGTGCCATAGGGAGCAGGCCCAGTCGGCTGCCCTTCCCCTGAAGGACGTCAGTCCCAGCAAAAGTCACGCCTTGGGCTTCCCCCTCCCAATCCTCGGGTCACCACTGCGAGAGCAGTGCCCTGGAGATTGAAAGAAGTCTCCATCTCCATGCTTCCCTGGAGGAAACAAAGGCTGCCCTCCAGGGAGCATGGCTCTCTGAGCCAGGCCCAGGGCTACGAGGTCTGAGTCTTAGATCTAAGTGCCCTCTGCTACTGACTGCGAATTCAGACGTGCCAGTTTTCAGGTAACTCCTGTAACAGCCAGACTGTCCAACCCACCAGGAAAACACCACTGGCTGATTTTCTCAATGGAGTGCTATATATATATATATATAGATATATATATATATATATTTTTTTTTTTAATTATCACCTGAGGATATTTTTTCTCATTAGTTATTTTATTTTATTTTTTTAATATATTTTATTGATTTTTTACAGAGAGGAAGAGAGAGGGATAGAGAGTTAGAAACATCGATGAGAGAGAGTCACCGATCAGCTGCCTCTTGCACATGCCCTACTGGGGATGTGCCCACAACCAAGGTACGTGCCCTTGACCGGAATCGAACCTGGGACCGTTCAGTCCGCAGGCCGACGCTCAATCCACTGAGCCAAACTGGTCTTGGCTCTCATTGGTTATTTTAGAGAGAGTGAAGGGAAAGGAGGAGGAGGAGGAGAGAGAGAGGGAAGAATCGATGTGAGAGAGACACATCAATGGGTTGCCTCCCGCATGTGCCCTGACTGGGGCTGGGCATCGAACTCACAACGGAGGTAGGTGTCCTTCACCCGGAATCGAACTCTCAACCCTTTGGTCCTTGGGTCGACACTCTAACCGCTGAGCAAACTGGCCAGGGCTGGAGTGCCCTGTTTTTGACGGGGCCACTGTATGCCAGCCCCCCTGGGAGTCCCCCCGCCACCGCACTGTGCCCCTCACACCCCCAAAGCCGACCCACTTTTTCATGAGGAAGCGGTTGAGGGTTTTCTGCTTCCGCATCACCTGCACGATCTTCCGGTTCAGGTAGACAAAGAGCGCCCCCCCGAAGCCACTGGCGATCCTGGAGAGGGGGGGAGAAGCGTCGTTGTAAGAGGGGCCTTCCCTCTTTCACCTCCTGCTCTCCCACGGCCCCGGCTCCCACCGCTCCTCACCCAATGACAGCAAAGGCCGGCAGCTCCTGGAGGTCAAAGGGGAAGTCGAGGCGGAACCGGGTTTTGAAGAGAGCAGTGATAGTCTCTGAAGGGAAGGCAGAGGAGCAGAGGGAGGCGGGTGTAGCGTCGAGGCCCCCCCCACTCCCCCCTGAGCCATCTCAGGGGCTCCCCGCATCCCCCAGGAGCCCCACCTTCATCTCGGTTCCAGACGGCCAAGACCCGGAAGATGAAGGCACTGAAGGTGGCGGCAAAGAAGCCCCGCCAGTAGTTGCGCACCGCGAAGAAGGTGGAGGTGACCTCGATGCTGAACAAGACCCCTGCGAGGGGCCAGGGAGCCAGGACTCAGAGCCGATGAGGAGGGAAGGCCCGGGGCGGGGCTGGGGCTGGGGCTGGGGCTGGACCGGCCACCTACCTCCGATGGGTGCTGCAAAGCAGCAGCCCACTCCCACAGCACAGGCAGCGGCCAGCATCTCCGTGTTCCGGGATTCATTCTGGCGAGAGTGGTGGACCGGGCGATCGGCTGGGCCCGGCAGCCCACCCCTCTCCTCTGCCCTCCCCCAGGGTACCCCTCACCTCATAGATGCCCCCGAAGAGGGAGAGGAACTTGCTGAGCAGCGCAGCACACATGCTTGCGATGTGTACGAAAGGGCCCTGGGGGAGGGGGGAGAGGGTGAGGAGGGAGGAGGTGAGCGGGGAAGCTGCACACCCTGATCCTGCGCTGGCTGCTTCCTCCACGGGGGGGGGGGGGTCTTTTCTTCCCGGCCCGCAGTTACCTCCTTGCCGAGGGGCATCCCGCTGCCCAGAGCACAGGTCAGCCCGATGACCTTCGCCACGAAGGTCTTGAGGGTGAGGTATTCCTTTAGCACCACGCCCCGCAGGATGGTCTTCATTTCGGGGATGCCGGACCCTGGGGAGCGGACAGTCCCGGCAGAGTCGTTTGGCGGGTCTGGTTCAGGAGGACCCACCTCCGCCCTTCCCTTCTCTCCCTCCTGTACCGACAGCCTGCGGAGCCAGGATCTGGGTAAATCCGGCGGAGAAGGTGATGAGGACGACAGGATAGGTGACCCAGGCCAGGTACTGGAGCAAGAGGCTGGTGTGCAAGCCTCGTGACATCCACTGCTGAGCTGCGGGGAGAGGAGGCGCTGTGGACCCTTGCGGGGCACACCCAGTCCCCACCAGGCCTGGCCGCTGGGCACAGTGATAGGAGAGGCTGTCCCAGGGAAGGCCAGACAGAGCCCAGGCACAGGGGCAGGGAGGGGTCCTCCAGGCCTTCCGTGCGGGAGAGATCACTGCAGGGAAGAGGGGCAGTGGGAGAGGAGGGGCGAGAAGATGGGAGGAGGCAGCGATCGTGTCCGAAGATAGGCACTCCGGCGGCCAAATAGCCAAGATCCTCGGACGAGTTTGGCATGGAGGAAGCAGGCTGGCGTTCCCCAGCCCTCCCCGGCCAGCCCTTGGCCTCACCCTGCAGACACGCGGCGATGGCATAGTCCATGGCCCAGCTGACCAGCGCCATGACGAGCCCCAGCAGGACCAGGAAGATCCAGTCTTCACCAACCCTGGACACCAGGAACTTATGGCAGCGGACAGAACAGACTGGGAGCGGGGAAGGAAACAGAGGGGAGGAGCTGGCACCAAAATGCTCCTACCCTGCCCCCCCCAACCCCCAACGGGCAGCGCTAACGAAGGGCCTCTGTCCCCCCCAGGACAGCACCGCCAGCGCCCCTGCCCAACCCAGTTCTCACTGCGGCACCGGGCGCAGCGGCTCTGTCCGTATTCAAGAAGCTCGAGGGGAGCCGGAGGGGACAGCGGGCTCCTCCAGGGCTCGGGCCCTGCCAGGCGGATCCGGGCAGCCTCCTCTTTGGCAAAAGCCCCAAGGTCCTGAGTGTAGCGGCCATACATCTGAGCAACGGGGAAGACAGGGTTAGCAGCTCTGCGTGGCTGAGAGGGGGCCCAGGGAGGGCCCTGGGGGTCTCTGCTCCCCTTCTCCCAGCCCCCAGTTTATATATATTATATATATATATATATCCCCTCTTGAACCCACAGGTCCCGCTTTGGCTTGGGGTGTGAGGACAATGCACATTGCAGATGGATGGGGGCTGCCAAGGTGCAGGGACACGGCGGCGCTGGGGGTGGCAGAATAATCAGTCCTCTTCTCTCAGCACGCCGGCCCGGGGGAGGGGAGGGTGGCGCTGAGGAGGAGTGGGAGGGAAGCCCCAGAGGAGAGCTGGGAGAACCTACAGCTCTGAAAGTGGGAGGAGGGAAGGTCAGGGAATAAAGGATGGCCAAGGGCATCCGGGTAACAATGAGGTCCTCAAAGAGCTGGGAGCAGTCGAGTTGGGCCTAGGAACAGGCGGGGCCTCAATCCTTATCACGTTCCTGCTGGGCGTCTGGCCTGTGACCCAGTCAGCTGTACCCCTTCCTCCCATCCTAATCCTCTTGTCCCTATTCTCCATCCCCCGCCCCCCCTCCTCCAGCCCAGCCGGGAGTGGACAGTCTCTCGGGTGGGTGGGGAGTGCGTGGGGGCCTCAGCCCACACGGGAGCTGCCCTGAGTCCCGTGGTGGGCTGGGGGACAGCAGAGGCTGGTGGCTGGGCTGTGATGCTGGGGCGATGGGACCGGAGAGTGTCCGAGCCATGGCTAGACCTGCCAAGCTGGGCATGTGTTGAGGGGTGGGGAGGAGTAGATTCCGGCTGCCACCCGCAGAGCTTCGAGACACAAAGGGCTCCTGTTGGGACTGGGGGGTGGTGGTGGTGAGGGAGGGAAAGACAGAGAGAGGAGAGAGAGAGAGAGAAAGGAAGAGAGAACATGATAGAGAGCAAGAAAAGGGAGGAGAGAGACCAGAGAGAGGAAAGGTGGGGAGGGAAGAGAGGACTTGGGGAAGGAGCGGGGAAGAGGAAGGAGGAGAAGGGAGGAGGAAGGGAGAGAAACAAAGTAGAGCATACACAGGCCGACACAATGTCAAAGTGGGAGGTGAGCCTGTGAGAAAAAGACAAAGGGATCGACAGGAGGAGGAGGGGGAGAGGCTGGAGCAGAGAGTGCCCGGGAAAGAGAGAGCTTGACCCTGAGAACTCATACCAGAGATAAAGACCGGGCGAAGGAGATGGGGCTGGGGTTGGTGCAACTGATAGACACGGTTTCAGGGCCAGGAGTCTGGCTTCCTAGACCAATGCCCCATTCTTGGCTGGTGCAGGCGGACAGTCACCTCCCACCCTATGTGAAGGCTCAGCCAGCCCTACACCCTCGTTCCACCCCCACCCCTGTCACCTCTCCCTGTCATCCTGTTCCATCCGGTCGTTCCCTCTCCATACCGGGCACCTCCCAGCCTCAATTACAGCCAGGGGCTCCTTCCTCCTGCAGAGGTTCCCTCCCTGCCTCCTTCCTGGGCAAATTCCAGGACCAGCTGTTTACAAGGGAGCCCTTCCCTAGAGTTTGGGCCCCCACCGCAGGGACACAAGGAAGGGCAAAAGGCGTCTCAAAGCCTAAGTTACAGTGGTGGCCACAAGTCAGCTCAGAACTTCAGGATCCCTGCTAACGAGGTCAAGGGACACCCCTGGGGTGGGCAGGGGCTGGATACTCATGGACAAAAGTCCCAAATCCCACACCCATTCCTGCTTGACCTGTACCCCCTTAAGTTCCTGTCCCCCCAGTGCAGCAGGCCACCCTCCCAAAGAATAGACGCAGGGGTTCCTGCCACTATTGGGGGCTGGGTTTGACTATCTTTCCACACACTCTTGTCTAGCACAGTAAAACGCACGTCCTGGGGTCAGAGGGAATGTCTTGGTGGTGGAGATGGAGGTGTTCTTAGATAAAGTTTTCCACCCGCCGGAGGGTGTGAGCGGTGCTGGGGAGGGGGAGTGGGTGCTGAGACTAGAGTCCAGGTGGTCAGGGGGAGGAGCAGAGAGGACGTGGTGTGCTGGCGGGGAGAGGTGAGGGGAAGGACACCTCGGACAAGCACCTGATCTTGTCCTCTGCAGGCCCCAGCCTCCGCCAGAACCCTGCCTGCAGCCCGTCCCATAGCCCTCCAACCCCCCAGGCCCCGAGCCTCAGTTTCCCCGGCTCAGCAGGCTGGGCGGGGCTGGAGGGGGAGGTCCCCGGTCCTCGCGCCTCGGAGGGGAGCCGGGAGCAGCGGCGCGGAGCGCACCCCTCCGCGCGCGGCTCGGCTCCCCTCCCGCACTCACCAGGGTCTGCTCGTACTGCAGCGCCCGCGGCTCCATCCCCTCCGCCGCCGCCGCGGCCGCCCCGGCCGCCATCTCCGCGCGGCCCGCCGGCCTCCCGCCGCGGCTCGGGCTCCGGCCTGGACTCGGCTCCCCGCCCGCAGCGCCCGCGCCGCCGACACCCGTCCCGTCCCCGCAGCCCGGGCGGCCGAGTGCAGAGCCTCCCGCTCGCGTCCCCTCCTCGGCGGGCGGGCCGAGGGCGGTGCCCGCGGGGCCGCTCCGCCCGCCGGCCCATGGGCGGGGGCCGGCCCGCCGGCCGGGGTCTGCGGCGGGGCCGCCTCCCGGGCGGGGAGGGGAGGCGGTAGGGGGCGCTGGGGGACGCGCGAGCCCGCGCCCCTCTCCGCGGAGGCGGGGGGCCGGGCGGGGCGCCGGGGGTGGGCCGGCGCGGGGGCGGGCCCGCCGGCACGTGGAGGGGCGGGCTGGCTCTGCGGCTCCCGGTGCCCGAGCAGAGCGGGAGGGACTGGCGGCCCCGGGGTCGGCCCGCCGGGACCGGGGCCAAGCTCTCTCTCCGGAGCGGTTCCCTCTCTTGCTTCTCGGAGGGACCAGCAGCAGCTCAGCCTGGAGCTAGGAGCAAACCTGCGGGGGCTGGGAGGGTAGCACTAGCTCCAGGAATGGGGGGAGGGGGTGCAATGCTCGGAGTTGAGCCCTGGGGCTCTCATCCCTTCCCTCCCTCCCCCCTTTCTTGCGGCTTCCCCGGGGAGGTGCACCTGGAGCACTCTGGACTGAGGGGTGTGCGGGCTGGGCCGAGGGGGCGGCGGCGGGGGTGGGGGAGTGAGGCCGGAGGAACCGAGGTCTGGGTGCGGGACAGGGCGCTCCTGGAGGCGGGCGTGGAGGGACAGAGGTCGCTTCTTGCTGGCAGGGCCCACGGAGAAACCCGAGTAGCTGCTGACATCTCGCCGCCGAGGGGGGAAAAAGGCCTTGGTTCTCCATCAGGGTTCGAAGAAGGTTCGAGCAGGCAGAGGGTGGGGTGAACACAGGGTGGATGGTCTGCGAGTGCGTGCCAGAGATAGGGGCCGGGGAGAGGCCCGTGCCGGGAAACAGGCAACAGGATGCAGGGACATGGGGGAGGTGGAGGTGCTGGCTGGGAGGAGGGGACAGTGCCCGGGAAGGGAAGGGGGCAGTGCGAGAGGAGCCAGCATCCTGAAGGGGCAGTCCGTGTAAGGCAGGAGTATCTGCAGGAGAGGAGAGAGCCAGGGTGAAGGGGCACAGTGTCCAGGGGGGAGAGGGCAAGGGAGAGGGAACGAGCTGTACCAGGCTGAAGGGGCAGAGCTCCGGAGGGCAGGGTGATGGGGCCAATGCCAGGCTCCAGGGGCGGTGTGGGGGAAGAGAGCAGGGCTCAGGGCAAGAGGACAATGCTGGGGAGGGTGCGGTACCAGGGGAAGGGATAGTGCAGGCTTTCCTCTTCCCCGTAGTGACATCATGGCAAATTCCCAAACTGAAAAGACCCAGCTCGGGTGACATCCAGCAGGGCCAAGCTGGGCCAGGCCGGCCTGGAGGGCCTCGGGTGCCAGCTGCAGGGGCTCGGGACTGCGCCCTGCGGAACCGGCGCTCCGGGGGGCGGGGTTCTGCTCCGCCCTTTCTCGACGCGGACTGTGCCCTCGGCGAGCACGCGTGCTGGCAGGGTAGGGCTGGGCTGGGCTGGGCTGCTCTGGGCCAAGGATCAAGGTCTCTGGCTGGGCTAGCGGCCCATGCGTTCCAGTTTTCCCAACAGGAATACTGAAGAGGGCGCAGTCGAGCCTCCGCAGAGAGCGAGAAAGCGCGCCACCTCCGCGGGAGGTGTGTGTGTGGGTGTCTGTCTATGGTGATCCCGCCCTGGGGCGGGCTTATCGACCTGACAGGCCCGCCCTCCACACTGAAGTCTCTCCGAAGCAGCAGATCGGGGCGGAAGTTAGGAAGCCCCGAGAGCTTAGGCGACGGAAGTGGCCCTGCTACAGCCTGTCTGCGCGCAGGCGTAGTTCCATTTCCTTGCTGGTGCTGTTGAGGCGGTCCTTTTCTTCCCCTCTCCTGCTCGTTTTCTCCGCGCCAGGGGGTGCGCGGACTCCTCTAATCGTGACTGCGCGGTCAGCGCCTCCCGTGCTGCTCTCGTCGCCCTGCTGCCATGGCTGGCATCCTGTTTGAGGATATTTTTGATGTGAAAGACATTGACCCGGAGGGCAAGAAGTTTGACCGAGGTAAGCGAGGTATAGAGAGGCGGGTTTGGGTAAGGAACTAATCTGGTTCTTGGGGACACCCCCCCGGGCCCCGGTCCACCCAACCCCACGAGGCGTGCGCCCACCGTCAGGTCCTGATGTAGGGACCGCGCTCAGGAAACATTTTATAGATGAAAGAGCGGAGACACCGCGCTCTCCTTGGGTTCACACAGGCTGTGCGCGGTGCCTGGGTGGCCTTTGCTCGTGGTGCTAGTCAACTCCTGGGCGCTGCCCACTCTGCTAGGCGCTGTCCTGGGTGGGCACCTTACATGCTTTGTCTTATTTCTTTCAAGAGTCTACATGAGATAGTTATTGTCTTTACCCATTTCTTCCAAGGCTGCACAGCAAGTAATCCAACTCTAGAATCTATTAGGTCTAGTAATAATTAATGTCGTTTTCTAATACCTTTTTAAAATCGAATTTATTTAAACAATACAACAAAATTTAATCAACAATATAGTTGCCGTTGTTTTCTACTACTTGTGCCCAACGCTCAGGAAGCATTTTAATCCCTCTGTTGTAAAATTCTTGTGATTTTGATGCAAAAAATTCGGTCAATGCATTTTTGAGGCATTCTTCATTATTAAATTTTTTTCCAAGAAGAAAGTTTTGCAAAGAACGAAACAAATGGTAATCGGAAGGGGCAATATCAGGAGAATATGCAGGCTGAGGGAGAACTTCCCATTCCAACTGGCGCAGTTTTTCAGCAGTGATTCTTGCAGTATGCGGTCGTGCGTTATCGTGGTGAAGAATTACGCCCTTCCGATTAATCAGCGCAGGTTCTTTTTCTCTTAAAGCTTGGGCTAACCTTTCCAATTGGGCACTATACACTGCACTTGTAATGGTTTGGTTAGATGGTAAAAGTTGATAATGAAGAATTCCTTTAAAATTCCACCAAACACACAACATCACTTTTTTCGCATGCAAGTCAGGTTTTGGCATGGGCTGCGGAGCCTCATTTTTGTCCAACCATTGAGGCCACCTTTTCAGATTAACATACAGCACCCATTTTTCCTCTCCGGTAACAATTTGCTCTAAAAACGGCAAACGGTTTTGACGAGAGAGGAGCGAACTGCAAATTGTGACTCTGATTACGGTTGTTGTCGGTCAACTCATGAGGAACCCATTTTCCAAACTTTTGGACTTTGCCAAGTGCACGCAATTGATTGGAAATTGTTTTTTGTGAACAATTTAAAGTTGTCGCAAGCTCTTGTTGGGTAATTTGAGGATTTTGCACCAAAAGAGCTTGAAGAGCTTCTTGATCAAAATTGGACACACGGCCTCGACCACTCTTGTCATCTAACGAAAAATTTCCCTCGCGAAATGTCTCAAACCAATGCTGGCATTTTCTGGCGCTAACTGCATCTTGACCAAGAGCACTACAGATGTTTTTTGCAGCCTCACTTGCTTTTCTTCCTAATTGGAACTCGTAAAGCATGCAGTATCGAATATGCTCTTCATCCGCCATCTTCTTAGCCCTAGTTTTGCAACAAAAACCAAACCAAACACAAACTTTTTCAAGCAAAACTTGTTAATTGCACTTCACACGTTCTGTAGATACCACGTGTTTGAAGGTTATGTCAATGCCAAGCAAGATTTTAAACGAATGTTGGAAAACGACATTAATTATTACTAGACCCGATATATTATTATTTTTGTTTTGTTTTTGTTTTTAATGTATTTTTATTCGTTTCAGAGAGGAAGGAAGAGAGAGAAAAACATCCATGATGAGAGAGAAACACAGATAATAATTATATTATTATTATATTAAATAATAATATAATTCCCCCATACAGAGGGAATTATATTATTTAAAAAATATATTTCTTTATTGATTTCAGAGAGAAAGGGAGGAGAGAGACATAGAAACATCAATGATGAGAGAGAATCTTTGATCGGCTGCCTCCTGCACACTCCCTTCTGGGGATGGAGCCTGCAACCCAGGCTTGTGCCCTTGGCCGGAATTGAACCTGGGACCCAACAGTCGGCAGGCTGACGCTCTATCCACTGAGCCAAGCTGGCTAGGGCTATATTATTTTTTGTTTGTTTGTTTTTAGTTTTTATTGAGTTTATTGGGATGACATTAGTCGAGAGACCATCACCCAGAGTAAAGCCTATTTCCACCTATATTCTTTTTTTTAAATTTTATTAAGATATTATATATGTACATGTCTTACCATTGCCGCCCCCATCACCCCCGTCACACACACCTATAGTCTTGTATTGCCCTTAGAATCTTTAGCTTTGTGTGAAGCCCTCTCTGAGTTAGAGCTGACTGCTTGGAATAATAAAGAGTTGCTCTTTATCCTGTCATTGATCAATAATTGTTTCTTTCTGTTTTCTCACCCTTTGCCTGGAGACTGACATCTTCTTCAGGACAAACACCGGTTCTTACATGTCCTAATAATCTCCTTAACACAGCACCTGACACAGAAAGGCAAAACCTTTGCTCAAAGTTAGGCTGTTTTTTAATCACCGAGGCAGGCCTCGAGTCTGGATATTCTTTGTTGCCCAAGGACTTTTGATTCTTTTCCTGGGATTTTCTCCACTTGGCCTCTTTCATATCTGGTTCTGATTGAGTCTGCACTTCTGAGAGCAGATGGGAAGCCAGTGGATGCAAATTGGGTTAGGTTGAGACTTCTATTGCGCTCGGGCCCCCCGCAGTGAGGTCTGCAGGGTCACCCTGGGTCGGGCACTTACCCTCTGCCACTCTTTCTCTACTTCTCTCCAGTGTCCCGACTGCATTGTGAGAGTGAATCTTTCAAGATGGACCTTATCTTAGATGTAAACATTCAGATTTACCCTGTAGATTTGGGTAAGTATTGAACACAGAAAATAGCAGGAGACTTTTTGCCATTCTGGCTGTTTTCACTCTCAGATATTGCCGTTACTTTCAGGTGACAAGTTCCGGTTGGTCATAGCCAGTACCTTGTATGAAGATGGTACCTTGGATGATGGTGAATATAACCCTACAGATGACAGACCTTCCAGGTGAGGGAGTGAAGAAGGGAGCACTTGAAATATGCCTGAGAATAAAGTAGATAAGTGGTGTAGAAAGACCCTTATTTAATTAAGTCGTGGAATAAATGATTATCAGCAGAATCTGAGGAACTTAAGGAAATTGCCGCACTAAGAATTAGCAAGGTATGCCGAAACCGGTGGTAGAGCGTCGGTCTGCAGACTGAAAGGTCCCAGGTTCGATTCCGATCAAGGGCATGTACGTTGGTTGCGGGCACATCCCCGGTAGGGGGTGTGCAGGAGGCAGCTGGTCGATGTTTCTCTCTCATCGACATTTCTAGCTCTCTATCCCTCTTTCCTTCTCTCTGTAAAAAATCAATAAAATATATTATAAAAAAAAAAATTAGCAAGGTATAATAAAAAAAAGAGGGAAAAAAAAAAAAAGAATTAGCAAGGTACCTGGCCAGTGTGGCTCAGTGGTTGAGTGTTGACCTATGAACGAGGCAGTCATGGTTTGATTCCTGGTCAGGGCACATGCCTGGGTTGCAAGCTTGATCCTCTGTGTGGGACATACAGCAGGTAGCTGATCAATGATTTTCTCTCATCATTGATGTTTCTATCTCTCCCTCTTACTTTCTGTCTCTGAAATAAATGAAAACATCTTAAAAAAAACACAAAAAATTAACAAGGTGTTTATTCAGAGCAGTTATTACATGCTTGTGGTTTTTTTTTGTGTGTGTTTTTTAAAAAAATATATTTTATTGATTTTTTGCAGAGGAAGGGAGAGGGATAGAAAGTTAGAAACATTGATGAAAGAGAAACATCAATCAGCTGCCTCCTGCTACCCCCCCCCCCCCCCCCCAGGGAATGTGTCCGCAACCAAGGTACATGTCTTTGACCGGAATCGAACCTGGGACCCTTCAGTCCGCAGGCTGATGCTCTATCCACTGAGCCAAACCGGTTCTGGCTACATGCTTGTGTTTTGTAGCTTTTTGATGGTGGAGGAAGTGACTACTGAGTGACCTAGGCTGAATGGGCCTTGAATCTTGGAGGGAAGTTTGGTGTAATGGGAGTTTGGAGCCCCATTGAGTTAAAATCTCATTTGTTGAATAACCTTAACCTCTTTCAGCCTCAGTTTTCTTGTCAGTGAAAGACAGGTGGTTGTATCTAGTTCACAGGTTTGCTGTGAAGACTAAATAACATTGTATTTGGAAAGTGCCTGTTGCTATAATGCTGGCACTTAGTTAGCAGTTACCAATTTTAAAGGACCTCTTATTATTGTTAACTACTTTAAAAAATATGTTTTTATTGACTTTCAGGGAGAGGGAGAAGGGAGAGATAGAAACATCCATGAGAGAAACTTCTATTGGCTGTCTCCTGCACGCCCCCTACTGGGGATTGAGCTCCCAACCGGGCATGTGCCCTGACCAGGAATCAAACCAGTGACCTCTTGGATGTCCAGCCACTGAGTAACTCCTGGCCTGGCATTGTTTTTTTCTTTTTCTTTTTTTAAAATATATTTTTATTGATTTTTTACAGAGAGGAAGAGAGAGGGATAAAGAGTTAGAAACATTGATGAGAGAGAATCATTGACCAGCTGCCTCTTGCAACATCCCCACTGGGGATGTGCCCGAAACCAAGGTACATGCCCTTGACCGGAATCGAACCTGGGACCCTTCAGTCCGCAGGCTGACGCTCTATCCACTGAGCCAAACCGGTTTCGGCTGGCCTGGCATTGTTAACTACTTTTAAGAATAACTGCCACATTGTTCCACAGGGCTGATCAATTTGAGTATGTGATGTATGGAAAAGTGTACAGGATTGAGGGAGATGAAACGTCTACTGAAGCAGCAACACGTCTGTAAGTTCCTTGGTCTTGTGAGAACCCTTTCACTCTGCCCTGTTCTGAGAATTGGGGACTTGCTTATCCTTCCTGTGTTGGGTCCCTCTCTCTAAGTATCTCAGACCTAAGCAGGACCCAGAACGAAACTTCTGGGAACAGTTTCAGTTGTCAGGGTCTCGGCCCTGCTGGTCCAAATGAGACACTGATAATCTTGCTGTGTGTGGTGCAAAGGAAGGTTGCTTCCTTAGGAAATAAATGCAACATTAAATAATTAAGCTGCTAGGTGTGTTTGTGCTTGTGTGTGTGTGTGTTTGTATGTATGTATTTATGTATGTATGTATATGTATATGTTGCTACATTGAACCCAACCCCTAGTTCTTTGGTTTCCCTGTCTCGCTATTTTTCCCTTTAAAATCTTATTAAAACAATATGTGCCCTTTGTAAGAAATATGAAAAGCAGAAAAGTAATGTCAGGAAGGAACAAAAGTCATCTATAATTCCATAACCAGAGGGAACCTTTTACATAAACATTTTTGAATAATCTAGGTTTTTTTTTTTCTGTGCTTTTTTTCTTTGAGATCTTGTTTATTACAATGTTTTCTTCTACTCTTTTTGCTTAATGTTATGTAAAACATGTTTTCCCATGTCCGTTTAGAGCTTTTCCTAAACACTTTGATAACTGTTTATCTAACATTCTAGTACCGGTAAATGGATATATCTGAATTGATTTGACCATTTCCTTTATTCTGGGCATGTAGTATTTTCTACTTTTGCTAATATAAAAAACACTGCCTTGCATATGTCTGTGCATTCATTTTTGTCTGAATTTTGGTTCCTGCTGACAAAACATTAGAAAGGTGCCTCTCTTTCTTAGGCTGGGCTGGAGAGCTGCTGAGTAACAGCTGCTCCAAATCTCAGACTCATGGGACTGGACCTTCTGTTTCAGCTCTGCCTACGTGTCCTATGGGGGCCTGCTCATGAGGCTGCAGGGTGATGCCAACAACCTGCATGGATTTGAAGTGGATTCTAGAGTTTATCTGCTGATGAAGAAACTGGCCTTCTGAACCACTGGGAAGCCAATCTTGCTGCTTAGTCACTCAGGTCATGGATGTTTGTTCAAGTCTGAGTTGCAATGGCTGCTGTCCTGTTCAGGAGGGGCTGGCTCTCTGTCCACTGTGGTGCTTCTCTCCCTGGTCCGGACTCAGTGGGAAACCGACTTGCCTGTGAAAGACCCAGCGGGCGAGTTTAAAATGAACCAGAGTTGTTTTGTGTGTATGATTTTTTTTAAATTAAACTTTACTTTTTCAGATTTTTCCTCCCCTTAATTTTTCTCCCCATTTACTTTAAAATAACTTATTTTTTATTTTTAGTTTGCCTATGGTATATTATGTTTCTGGCCCATAGCCAAATGATCATCCAGTGTAAGATCTGTCTCAGCCTTTTGGTATCTGGCTTCAGGGTTTCTCAGTCTCCTGGCTGACGATCCCCAACATTTGTCCTCCAATGTGGTTTTCTACACAAGAGAAGATACGGTGTTTTTGGCTCCTGGGGCACCCCCGGCGCAGAAGATAACCTCCATTTGGCATAGAATTTTGAATTGGCAAGGAGCCCTGCTTGTGTCCTTCTAACACTTTCAGTCGCTTAAGAAGTCAAATCACGTTGACTTGAATGAGTCACTTGGGTAACTGGAAATGTTCATCATTTTAAAGGAAGCTTTGGGTAGAGACTTTTTTTTTTTTTTTTTTTTTTTTTCCCTTCCCTCCTGGGGTAGAGACTTTTATACACAAGCATGGGACACAACTCTGAAGAAAATAGGAAGAGTGGGTTTGGTGGTTATGGGACCAGGTGGAGGAGCTAGCTGTCGGCCCTGTATTCTGGCAGTGACCTGGAGGGAGGGTAAGTTTCTTACCGGTGACACTGAGCAGGGAGCTGCTGCTCAGATCAGTGAAGCGGACGGGGTACCCATACCAATGAGGTTGGCAGTCCAGTGCCAGTACCCGAGACTGCAGCAGCCCGACTGCAGTCACCACCTGAAACGGAGGAAGCGCCAGCTGAGGAAATGGTGATGCTTACAAGGAGTCCAGCAGAAGAGCTGGCTCTTCAGCCTGGCGTGCAAGGTCCCTGGGAAAGCATACGGGACTCTGATTACCCCTGGGAAGTTCAGGGTAACTATCCAGAGATTTGTGAGTGTGTATTAAGCAGTTGTCTCTTTTGATCTCTTCGTTTGCCAGGGGAGCTGGTCCCCTGGTGGGATGCCTGGGGAGTCTCCTTCCCCATCATTTTCAGGTCTTTACATGAGGTGTTAGGGTATTTAGGGAAATGGGTTGAAAATGAGTGGTCCCTGCAGGGGAGGAGGTGAAGGTGTTTCTTTCGCCTTAGTATTGGGTGGGGAGGGTGGAGAGGGAAATTGGAGGCTCAGTGGGGGTTGGGATGGTTTTTTTTTTATTTTTTATATTTTATTGATTTTTTACAGAGAGAGGGATAGAGAGTTAGAAACATCGATGAGAGAGAATCATCGATCAGCTGTGTCTTGCACACCCCCTACTGGAGATGTGCCCGCAACCAGGGTACATGCCCTTAACCGGAATTGAACCCGGGACCCTTCAGTCCTCAGGCCAAAGCTCTATCCATTGAGCCAAACCTGTTTCGGCTGGGATGGGTTTTTAAGGGATCCTCCAGCCTTTCCACAGAGTCCAGCTTTGGGGTAGAGGACAGGTAGAGAAGGGTGAATTTAGGTTGGAGTGGGAGAACCTAATTACCAATAGTAGTTTCTGGGGTGGCCCAGCAGACTGTCTTAGCTGCTCTGGGCGGCAGAAGAGAGAACTGGCATACAGGTGAAAAGAGATAGCAATGTTCTGGTTGTAACAGGTTTTTTTTGTTTTGTTTTATTTTCTGTGTGAAGAAAAGAGGGGACAGATTTGAGAACGGGTTAGATATTCAATAGGGACAATCAGTTCACACTGGAGAAGCCCGTGAGTTTTTTACATTTGCCCTGAGCAAGTCAGATGCTAATACTGGATGCCTGGAACTTTCTGGCTAAATACTTTTTTGCAGTTTTGCCATCTTTGTCTCACCTGACTGTGCTGAGAACACCTAATTCTTTGTCTCTGGTCCCTTTGACATACCTGGTTCTGGGTGCTGCCTCTTTCATGTGCCATAAAGGGTTTCATTTGATTATTAGATGTACTCTTCTATAGTACTGCAGTAAATTAAAATTTCCACTGACCATTTTCCCTTGACTGCATCCTGGAATTTGTAATGTAGATGAGCTGATTCTTTCCCACATAGAAACTGACACCAGATTTGGACAACACTTTTGAGCTTTGTGCATTTGTTGATTCCTTCTCCATGGCAACTGTTCTGTCCATAATGGGGAAGGGGGACACCTGGAGATGTCTAAACAGGTCACTCATACCAAGAGCTTTGGCTTTCTACTCAGAACTCTTTTATCTGTTGATGTATTGACTCCCTAAGGACTTGGGAATTTTTCCTGATAAATAGAATCACTGAATAACATTGGACAGTGCACCGCACTGGGGAGAGTATGAGCTTTAGACCAAGTTGGCCTAGGGCAGTGGTCGGCAAACTCATTCGTCCACAGAGCCAAATATCAACAGTACGACCATTAAAATTTCCTTTGAGAACCACATTTTTTACACTTAAACTTCTTCTAACGCCACTTCCTCAAAATAGACTCGCCCAGGCCGTGGTATTTTGTGGCAGAGCCGCACTCAAGGGGCCAAAGAGCCGCATGTGGCTCGTGAGCCGCAGTTTGCCTACCACAGGCCTAGGGTATTTCTTTTTCTTCTGACGGGCTGTGAAACCTTTGGGAACTTGCCTGGCTGCTCCTTCATCTATAAAGGAGAGAGTCCCCGGAGCCTTAAAGAAGGCTATACGGTACCTGGCACCAACTTTCATCCTACTTGGAGTATGCCTCCCATGATCCTAGGCATTGGCAGTGTTTGGAACTCGGTTCCTGGCTCCTCTGCCTATGCTGTAGATGTGCCTCTCCTGTCCCAGCCGCTCTGGGTGCCAGAAGAAAGAACTGGCATACAGTTGAATAGAGATAGGAACTTCCTTGTCATAAGTTTTTTTGTTATGTTTTGTGTGAAGGGAAGAGGAGACAGATGATTTGGGAATGGGTTAGATATTCAATAGGGACCTTTTGGTGGGGAGGGAAGAGGAGGAACTTACATTAGTTTTCCCTACTGGAGCCTCTGGAGGCAGTATTGACCTTTGCAGTGGAGATTTGTTCAGGGCAATATAAACCTCCTTTCCCTTAGCACCAAGATGGCATTTATGGGCAAAGCCTCATACGCCTGGCTTTTTTTTCCCTTTTCTCTAGAGATCCCCTAACAGAGTTTATGGTGGTCACACAAAGCTGCTTTTTAGGTACTGTTTACCTCTGGGTACTGGGAAATGAGCCTTCAACTTGTACTTTGAGTTGTAACTTGTGTCTCCTGCTGTGTGAGCCCTAGGAGACTGACTCATGCCACTTCCTGCACTTCCCCCTGACCTCCACAGGAGGGAGGCAAGACCCCAAGCTTGACGAAGCTTCCTGCTGAGCTGCTGAGGCCCCGGCTGTTTGCTCAGCTGTCACTTCCAGGTCTTTTCTTGCCTGAACTGTCCCCACATCCTTACCTGAGGTGTGAGGCACTCCTGGGCTTCCTGTTAGTTTTTCTTTATTTTGTTAGGGAGGGGCAGAACTATTGCCTTCTGAGAAGGATATCTTTTTCTTTTCAGTTAGCTTTTGGGTGCTTAATTTATTCTTTATTTATACAGGCTCAGACAGTCTTTGTGGGAGACAACGTCTCATTCATTTCTCAGGGGTAAGGATTCCTAAAAAAAGGAGGTCAGAGTGCCATTGAGAATGAGGTAAAGGGTTATGGTAAAGAGACTAACCTTAGTTCTGAGCAGAAAACTAAAGCTCACTTTTCTGTTTTCTGATAGAAGATTAGTCTTTACCTCTGTTCAGAGGTCAGGCCAGTCCAGGCCTTTAAAGGAATTATCACACGAAAAAGCATATAGAGAATCCGTAAGTTGTAAATTTGTACAGAAAATAGACCGATAACTAGCTGCTCTGGTGAATATTATTGATAGGTTAAAAAAAAAATAGCTTTTCTGCCCCGCCGGTGTGGCTCAGTTGGTTGAGCATCATCCCATACACCAGGAGGCCGCTGGTTCGATTCTGGTCAGGGCATACACCCAGGTTGGGTGGCAGGCTCCATTCCCAGGAGGGGGCATGCAGGAGGCAACAATCGATGTATCTCACATCAATATTTCTCTCCCCGTTCCTTTCTCTGAAATCAATAAAAACATATTTTAAATAAATAGCTTCTGGTGTTTTAAACAGAGAAAAACGATCCTCTTTCCGTCCTATGTGTCTGCCTTCACCAGGACTGTGGGCTCCAGGGAAAGCAGGAAACCTGGGGGAGCTGCAGTTGTCTCCGGGGCCTCTCCTCCGGGTAAGAGAATCACAATGGGAGACACTGCTGGTGTGGGCAGCGCCTGAGCACCTTACTCCTCCTGAGACAGATTCCGGAAGTGAGGGTGCACCTCCGCTCGGAGAGGACTGGTGGGGTCGGGCATGGCAGCAGAGGGGTCAGGAAGTGGGAGTTGGAGCTGGGCTGTGGGGGTAGTGGGCACGGAGGGTGAAGGAGAGAAGACTGTATGTTGTCCAATGGCAGGAAGGGTTAGGGGGGAATATCCAGGCTGGAGGTCGGGTGGCAGGGAACCCATGTCCAAAGTTCCTGGAGGAATATTCAGGGCTCCTGGGGCCCTGGGTGAGGGTCCAGGAAGGAGTCCATGAGTTCCATTCAAAGGTCCGTGTGTCCTGTTCAGTTGTCCAGGGGTTTGGTCCAGGAACCTGGAAGTTTGGTTCAGCAGACCAGGCCCGTTGGCTCCGACTCCCTGCAGCCTCTTCAGAAGTCCAGAGCCAGTAGTTTTGGCCAGGACACTGGAGTTCGTCTCCAGCAATCCAGAAGTCCTGTTTGGAAGCTTGTTCAGTGTGAGGAGGAGAGAGGTACTGTGTGGGAGCGTGGTGGTGGGTAGGGCCCGCTTGGCA